ACAAGAAGGAAACAGCGAACAAAGTTTTGCAGTCCTGACAGTTCAACAAGTTCAACAAGAAGTTTCTCCGTCCGCTCGATACCGACAAACAGTTATACCGAAATCGCGTGGAAAGAGTAAAATTTGTAAACAGCCGTGTGGCGAGGGTTTCGCGGCTGAAGTGGGCTGAGTAAGATGAGAGGGGACGCTATCTTGGCCCAAGCGTCCCACGTCGCCTGGACCAATCGGATCGCACTGCGTTTGACAGTGCGTCTGGCACATCTGGTTTTTGTTTTAAGAAGATTTCTCAGAAATCCGCTCCGTAGAAAACTACATTTTTGGGCGACCTTTTTTTTTTGCTCAACCGCAAATAGATTTGGAGTCTGCGGAGGATGTCATCCATAAAATTTACTTGCTGTGGCCTTATTTTTTAACTTCGTTTGCTTCACCCTATTTTTTAACAGCCAATTTTTTATGTACATCCATTATAGGACGCTTTTGATTCTTTCTCTATTCCACATAACGATTTAGTTGCAATATTGACCAGTATTACAATGGCATCATTTTTATTTTAAATTTTAGATATTCACAATTTCTAAGGTTACATGATTTTGCACAAGTATAATGCATTTTTCTGTTGTTTTAAAGTCAAGGTTTTTTTATACTGTTCACATGCTCTAGCATGTGCCGGTATCCAATTATTTAATAACCAACTCGTTATGTTTTATGATATTAGATAGCGCCTTATGGAGTTGGCGGGATATTATGGGCTTAATAGAATGATAAGATTATACCCCGGCCCGGTGTGCGATAGTGATACTATTGTGATAACGAGACAAGAAAAATGTCATAACAGTTGTACAATGCCAGCCACAACGTTCCGAAAATCTACCCAGGCAGTGTGGAAATAAGTCACTTGGTAGCGTGGTCCCCATTCTTACTCAATCATTGCTACTACACGAAATCCCATCTTAAACCCTCCTTAAAGTATATGTGTATACGTGAATTAGTATTTCATACTTAAGGCATTTAAAACAAGCCCTAAGATTAGTCCTATATTTTCTGGGTGGTACCCTAAAAACCCTTAACCTAGGTCCCTCCAGTAACCGTTTTTCGTTAGAATTTTGGGTATTTTTGCTTCATTGCTCCTCAATATACATTGAGACAGTGTTGTTTCAACTTAGTATGTAGATAAATGACTAGAATATTGACTTATATTTCATATATTTCAAGCCCTAAAGCTGCATTGGATGCTTCTAAACCCACCTTAAAGTATACGTAAAGGTTATTTTCAATCTTTTGAACATTTACGCGTGCTTTAATCAATGCTTAAAGAGTGGAATTCTTGTACTGATCCTATGCCGTGTTCGTGAGGGCAGGGGAAGGGTACAGGCGACTTTTATTTCGTCTCCATGGTGCATCGATCGACGCGTCGGGCAGAAGATTCGCCTTTCCTCCGCCAAATCAGTCCGCGGCGCCCGCACGGAGGGGAATACACCGGCCAATTTTGCCGGGAACGAGCCGGTATACTCCATTGTGGAGACCCCCGTTATTACAAGCATGACGGCGTCTAATGTTCAACCAGTCGGCACAGAATACTAAACGGCTCCGACAGGAAACACTGAACAGCCCCGCGTTAATGTTTCCTGCAGGCACGGGCCCATTAGTAGTTTTAAGATCATGTAACATGGATGATGTATAGACAAGGAGAAATTCGAACACTTGGGAGTCAATGGCGCAGAGCTGAAGAAACACACTGTCGGCTTGTGTCAGATGCGCCATGCGCCAGTCAATAGTGAAGAAAAAAACATGGAAAGGAAGAACGCCAGACAACATGAGAAAAAAAAACAATGACAGGGAATAGAAGACCCCCCCCAAAAAAAAACAGAATGGAAGAACGCCAGACAACATGTGAACAAAACAATGATAGGGAATAGAAGACCCAAAAAAACACAGAAAGGAAGAACGCCTTAGAACATGTGAACAGAAAAAAATGACATTGAATAGAAGACCCTAAACACGGAAAGGAAGAACGGCAAAGAACATGTGAATAAAAAAAAAATGACAAGGAATAGAAGACCCAAAACACGGAAAGGAAGAAGACCAAAGAACATGTGAACAAAAAAAATGACAAGGAATTATAGAAGACCCCAAAAACACGGAAAGGAAGAAGGAAAGTCAACATGAGAACCAAAAAAAATCACAGGGAATAGAAGAGCAAAAATAAAACACAGAATGGAAGAATTGAAAAATGAAATTTGCAGTATCACTTTTCGACAATGAAAAAGAACACATAATATCTTTTCTACCAAAAGACAACAAATATTCGGTAAATGTAAATAGAAGCATATTCTGTTTAAATCTTTGGAATTACTTACTTTAGTAGAAAGCAAAGGAAAGCGACATCTATTTTTCTTTGCTAAGTAGAAGATTTTTAAAAAAAGTTGTGGAGCGGACTGAAAACATTAAACAGGCCACAGCAAGTCAATTTTATGGATGACATCCTCCGCAGACTCCAAATCTAATGCGATAGGGCGAAAAAAAAACAAGGCGGGCAAAACAAGATTCCTACATTTGCAAATTTTGACATCATAAACCTTGTTAAACAAGAAATGATACGTATATTGTGATAAGTTTACTGCCAACTATTACAACATCTATTCCTAACTGAAACACCTTTGAAAAATAAAAGTTTTCAATCATTGTACAAATGGATTTGATTCAGTGGGGAACATCACATATACACAGCCACCATCACATATATAAAAAGGAATGAAATGCATCACTGCATCAAAGTAAAAGGCCAAACAATAAATCAGAACCTTGTCTTATCCCCTCTCTTCATATTTATCTGCAAACGTTCCGGCATGGCAACAGACATCTTTGCCAATTTTCGGCATGTTAACCACTGTCAGAGGGCAGCAATTTTTTTTCTAAAATCAGGCACGCGCTGATGTCATCCATAAAAATGACTTGCTGTGGCCTCACTGCTAACATATTTGCCTGCCGTGCAAAGCTCCCCACTCCACAATATACGCCTACACTGTAGCCCATCTTGTAGTTCTATTAGCTACATGCTGCTTTTTGATGTCCGTTCGCGGGTCATTGACTTAGCCCTTTTCAAAAGGTTATGGTGAGTAGAAAGGTGAAGGTAACAAAGGCAGGTACCATATGTTTGCTAAAAAGATTTAGTACTGCGTATGTGAAGATATAGTTAGAGAACATGAAGTTATACACGTCTGGGCATTAAAATGTTTTTGACAAATGTGTACCGTGTCAAAACATGGTTGCAACAAGTCCGATATTTTTCACGATGTAAAAAACGTATTTTTATCATAATCTATATCTAAAAAACATGACATGTGTTTCTTAGAGAATATGATTTATAACGTTGGAATTATGATTAATGTTTATCTTTGATTTTAATGCTTATCTTTGATTTTAATGTTTAGCTTTGATTTTAAACAATTGTTTTCTGTGCTTATCGCTTAATGCTACGTTAAGTCTTACCTAGTGGAGCTTTTTAGCAATGTACTGTGCATCATACATCATTTCAGCTGATAATGGCTGCTACTGTTTTTGTACGATGTGTACTTGTATTTTGTATTGAAAAAAAACCATTCATTTATTAATTAATTAAGCGTACATAAAGGTGAATTCTTTTGCTGTAGTTAATGTTTAATAAATATAAGCATATTTTATCCGTGCTTAAAGATTGAAATTCATGTAGTGAAATTATTCGCTGGAAGACTTCGGGAGGCATAGAAGCCCCCCGAGATACAGTAAAACACAATAAAAAACGTTACTACGGCCCAGGTATAGTATAACATTATTGTTTCTATCGTCGGTGAAATTTAGACATCCAGGTAATAAGATACGCTAAAAACAGTTACTCAAGCAACTCCAAAATCATATCCAGTTGCTTGAATAATTGTTTTTGGTGTATTATTGCATCTTTCATTACGAAATTGTGTTCTTGCTTGCAGTGTCGTTCAGGAAAAAAAAATATGCCTCCAAATTTTTATTCTACATATATTTACGTGGCAGTGTGTTTTTTTTATATGAATGTTTTTTTTTTTGCAATTTGACACAAAACTAAAAAAACATTGCAGCCTAACAATATAATGTAAAAGAAAGGCTGAATTACGCAGTTTTAGGGGTCACACAATTGTACTAAATATCATTGATATTGACAAACATAACATTTTAGATGATCATATAACCTGCTATAATCCTAAACCCCTACGCAACAACCGCGAAGCTGAAAATGGCACGTGCTTAGGCATAACAATATTCGCAAACGGACATGGATGGGCCTTCCTCGTTCCAACAAAACGCCTTTTTGATTCGTCCTTTAGCGGTAATCCTTCAGTATCGATCCCGCTTTATTACAATGATGTTTTCCCGTTCAAGCGACCGTATCAACATCTTCAAAGCCGGTTGTCGGTACTTTTGCTCACGCTTGACGCTAAAAACATGTTTTTTTAAAACAATTCGCTCAATACTCATAATTGGCAACCTCATAAAGATGAAATTAGCAAGAGTTCTTATAACGTATTCTCCGCACATTTAGATGATAATTTGTCCTGATCAAGCGATGCACTTTTAACCTGGAATTCATCAAAATCCCAGAAGGTGTTCGATCTAATGAAAGCAATATGTAAATGGAGAAACCTTGTTGGATTAAGGAATAGTAGATCTTGTGACATCTTCTATTTACGAGCAAAATAAATACATAATGACATTACTGATTTCCTATACCAACTACTAAAAACCGGTCATTTGAGCATGTACATACATCTCATGAAGTTGTGGCAATGTTCACGTTGTTTTAATTCATTCTTGCACCACAGGCTAAAATGACATTACATTGCTGCTACGATTAATTGCGATCTGGCCTGTTCATATACACTATCCCTGTGGGTATAAATGACTGTAGGGAAATATCATTGGAAGGTAAACAAAATAGGTAGGGTGCAGCCTATCTAACGTACGTTAATAATGTGAGGAAAGGCTCTTACCTTTTGGGGCGAAGAAAGGTATTTCAGGCTGATTCCTACCACAGGTATGCCAAGATGGGCGCCGTAGAGGGACAGGATCTGGAATGTCCTGGCTTCCCCCACCACCAGTAGAGCAGCTATGTTCGTCCCGGCTAAAGACTCGCACGTTTCATTCAGCATCTCCTGCGGGTTGTTACCGGGAGTTACCGTCAGAGGGTTGACGCTGATGTTCGGGTAGTCGTTCTTGTAGTCCTCGATGGCGCGCTCCATGGTCAGCCGGAACTCCGAGACGTTCTCTTGCGGAAACACGGCGCCGAGAGTCAGCATGCTCTCGTCGGGGGGCGACTCCTGCGCGAAGGTAGAGATGCTGACCGCCATGGCTAAGGCTGTCACCCACCACACGACACACCGCGACCAACACAGGTGTTCCCGTAAGGCAGACATGGCTTGTGACGTGAACAACACGGGTACGTCCCGCCAACAATAGTCCCCGGTATTATTCTCCCTGCGTCCTCGCCGGCTGCACTAGTGGATCGATGTTTCTTTAATTTTCTTACAGAGAAACGCTCTGCATGGCAAAACGGCTTCTTTGGAGGAGGCGAAGGATGGGGGGAGAGTGTTTTCGGATCTTACGTCACACCGTCTCTCCGTTCACGACTACTTCCCTCTCGGCAACATTCCATTTCTCATGGCTGAATCCACGCGGGTGAAAATCGCCTGTCTCCCCGCGTACGCCGCAGGTGTTATCCGCACACAGCCACGCAGCCCGACACCAGTTGAAACGTCATAGCTAGCTAGCGGAACGAAGTACGGCTTGGTAATAAGGACACGGCTCCGCACGTACCTCCTCTCCCCACGCAGGTACTGAACAAGGAAACCGGGTCACACTTCGCCCGGCGCCCGCCCGCACCATCCGCGAGCTCCGCTCATCGCCGGCCCACCTGTCCACGGTCCAGGTGAAGGGATATCCATCCACACAGCGGCTCGCCAATCTTCCCCCTCATGACGTAAGGACTGGTCTTCTCCCGACCGGTCAGCTGACTGACCACAAACGATTTTTTTCTGAGCACGAAGGCGTCTTGTTCACGTGATCGGCACTGAAGAAGGCATCTGAAAGGCTGGTTCAATGCGAGTGGGAAGCCTGCGCAGACGTAACCACATGCACAGCCTACTTTGTCCCAGAATGGATCGTCCCGGTACATAAAATTAAACCCCCACGGACTCCCCCGCTTTGTATGGACTACACTGATCAAGCGACACACAATAAAAACGCTGTAAAACCTTCTAAAAACGGCGTTTGCTGAATATACATTAAGAACACGCATATATCACTGCGGGATGCTGAGTGTATATACAGGGTAGGGCTTAAAACGGAATGGCAGCTTGTAATGACAGTTTGAGCGATGTCCAAATAAGTTTTATGGTGAAATTTTACGGCATAAGGCCACAGCAAGTAAATTATATGGATGACATCCTCCGCAGACTCCAAATCTAATGCGAGCGGGCAAAAAAAAACAAGGCGGGCCGAAAAAAACAAGGCTCCTACAATTTGAAATTTTGACTCAATCATTGTACAAATGGTTTTGATTCAGTAGGAACATCACATATACACAGCCAGTATCACATGTCACTGCATCAAAGTACGAAACGAAACATTAAATCAGAGACTTTTCTTGTCTCTTCTCTTCATAGTTATCTGCCATCCACCTTCCGGCATGGCAACAGACATGTTTTCCCATTTTCGGCATGTTGACCACTGTCAGAAGGCAACAAAATTTCTTGTTTTTTTTTTTTTCAAATCAGGCGAAAACTAATGCGCGCGCTGATGTCATCCATAAAATTTACTTGCTGTGGCCTAACATAAATCTTAAATCTAGCCATTTCAGTGACTACGTAAGGATCGTGGGTGGTTGAATTTTTCTGGCCGCGTAGAGAGAGTACCGTCGAACAGAGAGGTCAACGTAAGTTTAGGAAATGATCAAATACGGGATTTTATGACATGAAAATTCAATTTCCCGTGGGAGGATAATACCAGGGATATAGGGCTTACGAATATGTGTCACCAATCACAGAATTACTGATATTGATATCTGAATTATTACGGTCACGTACTATTAGTTTGTCTAAATCTGTTGGCCAATGTTTTTAAATAGTTTAAAAAAAAGAACTAAAATCAACTTAAAATTATTACTAAGGCCATGTTGATTTGATTATATGGATGACATCCGCGCGCGCATGAATTTTCGGCCGTTTCCTAAAAAAAAAAAGTTTTCAACCATACTGTAAATCGTGCAAAACAGTTGCTAAATGAGCAGAAATATACCATAAGTTGCAAGGAAAACATTTAGAAACGATACCAATGTCGTAGAATGCCAAAATCAAAGGAAAAAGACAAAAATGTAAAGAAATGAATTCGAAGAGTAGATTATTCGCCATAACATATTCTGTGCCATTTGTTCAACCTTCATGACCACGTAGATTTCATAGTGAAAGCAACTTTTTTTTTTGCAAAACTTTTTTTTTATTCGCACGCGCGCATCAGTTTTGGGGTTCCCAGAGGATGTCATCCATATAATCAAATCAACATGGCCTAAGTAAAGAGTCAAGAGAAAATGTCATGCTGACAGTTTCTTCCCCAGAACCACTTCACTGTGGAACAAGCTTCCCCGTGAATGTTTCACCGCTAATTACAACCTCCAACGGTTTAAATCAAGGGTGAACAAATATCTGACCACGCAGTCATCACTGTAACCCAAAACATGTAAGTGGCTCTCACGAGCCTTGTTTTGAGGTGAATCTGAAGTAAGTAAAAATAAAAAAAATAAAAAACTTACGTTGCTTTTAAAGCGACTGCTTTGGTATGGTGAAATACTTAACGCAATGGGTCCTCAAGGGAAAAATATATAATCTCCAACTTCAGAATACAGAGTACTAACAAGTCATTTGCATCCCCGGATAGTGTCATTTACATTCAAGAACGGCCATGTAGATGTGATTATGTGGATGACATCCGCGCGCGCATGAATTTTCGGCCGTCTCCAAAAAAAAAAAAGTTTTCAACCATACTGTAAATCGTACAAAACAGTTGCAAAATGGAAAAATGTATACCGTAAGTTAAAAAAAACATTGGAAAACGATACCAATGTCAAAATCAAACGAAAAAGACGAAAATGTAAAGAAATAATGAATTTATTCGCCAAACCATACTTTGTGTCATCTGTTCAACCTTCATAACCACGTAGATTTCATAATGAAAGCAACGTTTTTTTTTGCCAAACTTTTTTTTATTTGCACGCCCGCATCAGCTTTGGGGTTCCCAGAGGATGTCATCCATATAATGAAATCAATATGGCCTAACAGGCAAAAATTTATTTATGACTTGTTTAGCGTGTCTGACAGACAATATTCTGGTCCCATTTTTTCGATGTCACAGACCCAAATTGTTCATAATATGTAGCATGAAATGCAGATCATAGTATTGGTCCAAAGTGTATTAGGCCACACCAAGTAAATTTTATGGATGACGTCCGTACGCGCATTGATTTTGGCCTGTTCCTAGAAAAAAAAAGAAATCCCGCTTCCTGTAACTATGACCAAAGAGTCACGACAGTGCCACAAATCGTTATATTGACGTGAACCCCGTAACGCGAAATGGGTAAAGAGCACATGCTTTGTTTCTGCAGGCCTGCAAAAATGTGATGAAAGAAACAGGACAGGACTGATTCATTGCTTTTTTGATGATGAATAAAAGACTTCTTGCTTGCTACACTGTGTCACCTCATTCAATTTGTGACCTAACATTTGTCGTCTCCTAGTATATTTCTAATCTAGGCATCTTGTTTTTTTCTGGCCCTTCTTGTTTTTTTTTCGCCCTCTCGCATTAGATTTAGGGTCTCCAAAGGACGTCATCCATAAAATTTACTTGGTGTGGCCTTAGACAAATTCATAGTTATTCATTCTCTTCGTTGCTATTCAATCTCTCTAAATTTAACTGAAACTATTTAAACGTTAGTTTAAGTCCTCCCGGAAACCATCGGTATGGTCACTTATAGTGGCGCCCATCTCCGTTTCTGTAGCCCTTGGGCCACACAATTGTGCAATGACTACGGTAGGGGGCTGGTCCACTGGTGTGTGTTAAACAATAACTTCCATACTCGCAAATGCTGAGTGTTAAGCAGAGAAAGCAGTATGTACCATTTTTTAAGTCTTTGGTATGACTCGGCCGGGATCGAACTCACGACCTACCGAATGCAAGGCAAGCACTCTGCCCACTTGGCCATTGCAGCGGTTTTTAACGTTACATTTTCAAAAACCGTTGCAATAGCTCCATTGGTGCTCGCTTTGTAACCGGAAGGTCGTGAGTTCAAACCCCGCCCGGGTCATACCAAAGACTTGGTACACACTTCTTTCTCTGCTTAGCACTCAGCACATATGAGAAAGATTGTGGGAAGGTCAAACACACAGCACTACCAGCGGACTAGCCCCCTGCTGTAGTGCCCTGCACAACTGTGTGTCGCCCAAGGGCTACGGAAATGGACATGGGCACCAAACCCTATGCTCTGCATAGAGCACGGGAGACCTTTTTTTTTATTCACATTGAGTCCCCGGGACATTCAGTATCTCTAGAAGGGGTTAAAATCCTTGATTCTGAATCGGACTTCTTTGCAAGAGGAGTTAAGGAGGCAGTCTACATAAGAGCTCACAGACCTACCCTGAACAGAGACGGGGGGCGACACAAGTTATCTGGCACAAATGACCCGCTACTACGGTCACGTTTCTCTGACGTCACGTTCCAAGAGTAGACGGATCCATTCCGTGAACAAGGTTGATGGAGTCAACCGAAAATTTGGGGTAAGTCCCAATTCTATTTCTAGTGTTGGAAGTTAAAGTTTAGTCTTTATTTCATAAAGACTTGTGATTTATTTGCTGAACGGAAGCTATATAGGTATTGTCACCCACTGTGCAAGGATAACTTGTGTGACACGTAAAGCCATGTTTGAGCTGTAGGTACTCCTGATAGACTCATTATTCCATACTGCTGAGCTCGCCGTTAATACGGAAAATTAATGGAAATCGTCACACTGTCTGACGAGCTCTCAAAGAAGTAGGCATTAATCCTGGGTAAGTGGGCCATAACTCAGTTGCCATGTTTATTCCTCATCAGCGGTTCCTGTATAGGCACTTCTGCCACCGTTATGTATATGGAAATGTCAGCTGGAAAATCTGGGAAGGTTGGTGCGTAAAGAGTGTGTGTGTGGATGGCGTTCAGCACCAAGGAGAGGTCTGGTTGTCTGCACTGTGTGTGTATGTGTGTGTGTGTGTGTGTTTGTGTGTGTTGTGTGTGTGTGTGTGTATGTTTGTGTGTGTATGTGTGTGTTTGTGTGTGTGTGTGTGTGTGCGCGTGCGTGCGTGCGTGCGTGCGTGCGCGCGCGCGCGCGTGTGTGTGTGTGTGTGTGTGTGCGTGTGTGTCTGTGTGTGTCTGTGTCTCTGTGTGTGTGTGTGCATGTGGATAGTGTCGCGTTAAATGTTGTGTGGATGGTGTTCAGCACCAAGGAGAGGTCTGCTTCTCTCTCTCTCTCTGTGGATAGTATTTAGCACCAAGGAGAGTCGCTTAAAGTGTTGTGTGGATGGCGTTCAGCACCAAGGAGATCTCTGTGTGTGCGAGCACGCCCGTGTATGTGTGTTTTTGGATGTGTGTGGATGTGTGCGTGTGTGTGTGTGTGTGTGTGTGTTCGCGCGCGCGCGCACGTGTGAATGTATGTGTGTGTGAATGTCTGTAGTGTGTGTGTGATGTGTGTGTGTGATGTGTGTGTGTGTGCGCGCGCACGTGTGAATGTGTGTGTGTGTGTGTGTGTGTGAATGTCTGTAGTGTGTGTGTGTGTGGTGTGTGTGTATGTGTGTGTGTGTGTTCGCGCGCACGTGTGAATGTGTGTGTGTGTGTGTGAATGTCTGTAGTGTGTGTGTGGTGTGTGTGTGTATGTATGTGTGTGTGGATACTGTTCA